AAAGAACAGCAAGTCTCTTGCTAAAGTCTTATGAAACAACTCTACTATCTTGTACAATAGACTAGTTGTAAATCTTCAATTTTGGAACTCTTTAACTTTTAACAGTGATTTATAGTAGCACCTATTCTTATAGTTATTTCGTTCTAAATGCCATTGAAATAAGGCAATTCATTTATATAATATCAAATAAGCGATATCAAATTGTAATTTTCGTGTTATTGTATTGAAATGTTATAAAATTGAACTCATTAAAATATTGATATGAAAAGAAATATTTTTTATTGACATGGTTCTCTTGCAGCTTAACACCGATAGAACATCTTTGGTACTACCTCAAATGAAGTTCTTTTGTACAATGTCCCTCGTTGATCCGCCAAAATGTTTGTATATCCAACACATTAAACTCTTGTTATAATTTTGTCACACAGCTACATATATATCTCTAACCTAATAATGGTTTCTTATATTCTGCCTTCCAGCTGCTGTAGTATTTACTTACCGCGCGGAGTACCAACGTCTGCTCTCCAACTTTGCTATCTACATTGCAAAGGGGTTATTATTTCTTATTGAAATGAAAGGATTTGAGTTTCACTATTCGACTCACCTATTATCTATTGTACTCGACGGAATCTACCCCATAATTCGAACGCAAGTTATTTCAAAATAAAGAAAATGTAAATGGGGTTATATGGAATGCTAGCGTGAAAACACTATTAAAAAGTCTATAAGCACCATTACATAAACGTGTAAAATGATCTGTAGTGACTCTCAGTGGTACAAGCCTTTTGGTCATTCATCAAATGACTGTCTGAATAAGATGGCTCTTACACAAACCAGTACTATATCACTTAAAATAATAGTAGTATTATAATAACACTGAAATCAAGGAGTTAGGTCACATTTCTTATAAATATTAAAATCTTTATATATTCTTCCTACAGGGCAATTCTAGTGATGATCTTTCAGCTCAACGCACTCAAAAATCTTGTGAAAGAGCGTAAAACATTTTTTAAAAGACTTTTGTGCCAGAATAGCAAAAATTTTGATATTACAAGGATTTTACGCAAGACTTTTAGCGACCTTTCCCAGAATTGCCCTGTTAATCTATGTCAACGTGTTCAATAGAATACACTCTTTCTTATAGAATGCCAACTATTCCTATTTTTATTTCTATTTCTTGAAAACAAATAATTAATCTACATAATTATTAACTAAACTAAAATAAGATTATTGAAAATAATCTTAACATTAAACTAGAACTTCTCCAATGGCAATGACAATTGCTCAGATTTGTGGCAATATAATCACGTGGCTTAAGGTTAAATAGCAATGAGATGATAAATACCACAACAAACAATCAACATTTTTCGTTCACTGTAATAAACATTAAGCACAAATCACAGTTAAGACATAAAGGAAAAGTGAAAGTACACAAAGAAAGGCACAACTTACACTTTTATAAAGGATATGCACATATTACTGACACATATCCTTGTAAAAGTTTTGTTTGAGGTTGAAATATGTTTAAATGGATGAGAAGTGCACAAAGTCAAATACGTATATTTGTAGTCAGTAGTTGTAAGGATCTAATGATATATTTGTATTTGCTCTACAATATCAGCACGTTTCCGTTTTCCACACTTGACCATCACATGCATTTTGCAGTCTCAAGTTTTATGTAGTTTGGGCTTAATAAAGATATCCTTTATTAGACGCCCTTCAATCAACAATGCACTTAAACATATTTTTTCCTCTACGTTGACACTAGCAAACGTCTCACTTCTCCTTGACAATTACAAAGACAAGTGCTCCTTTCACTATGCACATAAGATATGTCTATGTGCAGTTTTTCTTCTCCTTCATATTCGTGAATGACTTTCACTGCACAATTTATGCAGTTTCAGTGTTTCCTCATACTTTTTATTGGATATTTTAAGGCTTCTCTTGTCATATCATGTCACTACAATTTTCCTTCATTAATGTCGCAAATAGTTTTTCTTCCTGTCTGTGCTTCTCTCTATCATTTTCATACTTAATTATGACTGCCTTGAACATGATTTCTTTATTTAACCTTTTATTTTATAATGAAATTGCAATTTTTGCTTAGGTTTTATAAAAATACATTATACATCATTCAATGCAATCAATTACTCTCATAAAGAAAACTTAAAGATTTCTGCCTTGAAAATAAATTTATTTGACTTTTGCTACGTTTTCTTATTAAATTGATACAAATTTGTATTTTTGCTTATATTTTCCTTTATGAAAGGAATTTATTTAGAATTGCTTAACTTTATTAAGACATCAACAAAATTATTTTCCAAAACTTTTACCTTTGCCGCTTTTGTCTTTCCAAAATAAGTTACGTTCTCCCACAGCACCGTAAATATAACTTTACCACAAACTTCCTAATCACTTTATATTATTATTTTCTCATAAATATAATTAAGCTTTGTGGAACCGAGTATTACGAAAATTTATTTAGAATACCAAATCTTTCAGAAATTCATTAGCAATTCTTTGTGGAAACGAATACATTTTCAGCGAAGTGAAAACAATTACTTGACATGATACGCACTTTCATGGTTCAGACATTAAATGCTTTGTTTTTTATTTACATTGTTTTTAGTGATTAGGTTTTTATAAAGTTTGAAATTCAAATTAAAAAAATATAATTTATATTGATTTAAAGCAATTTATTGTACATTAAGAAGAATTTTATTTGAAAACGAAAAGAAGTTATAGTAATAGAGATTTTCAAATCCATAAACTTAACTTCTAATCAAGTAAAGTCTTCAGCTGATAGTATATAATTTGTAGTTAACAAGTGGCAAGAATTAAATGGTATGTGAGTTTAATATACGAATCTACGGCTCAAACCTGACTGGACTCAGTTCTTAATACTGGCAATCCCCAATTATTATAAGGATTAAGCTAAAAGATTTTTATAAGGCCACTAAATTTAGATATTTGTCGGTAAACAAAATAGCTGCATAGTCTAGCCAAGAATTCATTTCATTAAAATCAAATTTTTGAATTTATAAATTACTTATATATAATATTATATATATTAATAGACATGACATTATCTATTAAACTTATAACCGAAACCCCACAAAATATTGTAGAAACTACATTGAGTAAAATTGTGTAGGTAGCCTTTGAACAAGTATACGAAACACCGGAACTCATTTTATATAAAAATAACCGCAACACTTGGGACATCTTATAATAAAAGTCCCAAGGTTACGCAACGTACTTATAGGCGGTCACAGTGATGTCCTTCACCAAAACAAGAGATACATTGTGTATCGACTAATATAGTTGAGATTTACAACATTTGTTTGGACAACTTTTGATTTGATATATGAAGAGTATAAAGCTTGATTGTCAGAAAAAAATCTCGTATAAATCCCTAATATATGCGTTTCTTATAATATGTCACCTACAAAATCTAATATTCTGGAATATCCAAATTAAGTTTGAAATTTTACACAGCCATCTAAGTTGAAGTCTTATATACAAGTTCAGAAGTGTTATTTTGCCATTCTACTCGTTTCGTGTCCATATAATATTAACAGATTTGACAGACCTTTCATGGATGCCATGAATATAATTTCCATTTTTAAATCGCATTGAATCTTATTGCTACTTTTACACATTTTTTTTTATTCCATTGACATTAAAAAAAGTATCTAAAGAGTACCTAATATTATTGTAAAAACACAATTATTCCATATCGTATAATAAACTATGTTTTCACTGCAGACTTTATCTTAACATCAATGTATTTATATATTAATTCTATTCAAAAAGGGCTTTAGCTATTCAAATCCCTTCTCTGGGTACGTACCTGTTTTGTAATTACTTGCAAAAATCAATAAATATGTATAGGCAGACTTCAAAAAATAATTGAATACTGAAATATATTTGTTAATAATAGTTTATAAATATTTTTTATCCGGCTATAGGTCACTATTTATTAAATAATTCTACATTTGTGCAATATTTTTTATTATATTCTATATTTCGACTATTTTTTACATAATTCCAAGGTTGTTCAATATTTTTTATTATATTTTATATTTCTACCCTCCTTGAAAGTCACCATCAAAATCAGGATCTAACATAAATTAATATTACTAAACCCATATCTACTTCATCCTCTCTATTCTATTAACTATATTGCAATAAAAACATATATAAAAATCATTACAAAAAAATGTCAACTAAATTCAAAATTTTTCGTTAATAATACATATTTAATAATATTTTTGTAAATTTATTTATATTAAAAGTTAAATAAAAAAAACTGAATTAAAAAACTGTATTGATATTTAGTTTAAATTAAATCGGTGCAAAGGTATTTATTTAATTTTTCATATTTTTACATTATTCATATATTACTAATATAAATTTTTAATTAATTTTTAATTATCTTTTCTTTTTATTTTTCTCATAAAATAAATTCATTGTTTTTTAAGTTATTTAAATAAAATGTATATTATTACAATATTAACTCTCTTAAGTGAATACTCATCATCAACTAACTTTTGTGTCTTCAAAAAGGGCTAATAACTTGCTCCAAATAAAGATACAAAAAAATGTTTATAAAGTATCTATTTTACACTTAGAGTTGTCCAATCAAAGTGGATGTTGTCATTGTAATATTTATACATATATAAATAACAAACTTACTCTTAAAATACTACACTTCAATTGTTTTTTAATTACAGCAAATAACAATTGGTATACATTCCGGTGAAGTGGTCACCGGAGTTATAGGAAATCGTGTGCCCCGATATTGTTTATTTGGCAATACCGTTAATCTGACAAGTCGCACCGAAACAACAGGTGTTCCCGGACGCATCAATGTTAGCGAGGAGACGTACAAGTAAGTAAAAATAAATTTAAAACTTAAATATTTTATGGTTAATAAAACTATAAAATGCTACTTTAAAGCATAACAGCATTAAATAAAATAAAACCAAATAAAAGCAAAAAGAATTAGAAAAATGGCAAACATTTTCACTGAAAGTTACAAAAGCTACAAAAGTAAATAAATGAAATTAAAAGATATAAAACGAAAAAGGGGAAAGGACGAAAGGGAATCTTTTTGTGACACCATAAAAACAACTTTAGAACTTCTAAACTTTCAAAGGTTGCTCTATTATTTTGGTATCATTTTCACTTTCACTATTGCATTCAGCATCAGCTCCAATATCTTTCCCACCATCGGTGCCGCCGTTACCGCCACCGTCACCGCCACCACTACAACTACTGCTCCTGCTAGTATGTGCACTCGTACAGGCAGCTGCAGTATTCCGTTGTTCAGTTTCACTCTTTTGTTGTTTTTGATTTTTGCAGTTATTATTTTCGGGTCCTTCAATCTCTTCCATTAAGTCAATATAACGTTGCAAACGTCTCGGCAGTCGTAGTGTATCAATGCCATCTGGTAGTTGTCCATTGTTACGCAGCAAATCACGTATACGACAACTGCAAGACATTAAGACCAAAAAAAAAATTGTAAGTTTAGAAGTTGAAAATTTTTAAGTAAATAAACAGGAAGAAAGTTGCTTAAGTTTTAGTGGGAAAGAAATTGTATCTCAAGTAGTTAAAGTTACTGTTGCATGTGTGCTAGATTTATTTTATTTAATTTTACCAATACGTTAAGTATTTTCTTTGTTTTTTATTTAAAAAAACAAGAAAAATACATTAAAGTAGAAAATTAAAAGCAAAAAAGACTTTAATTAAAATATTTAATTAAATAAGTTATTTTAAGTTTTTTGAATTGTGTAGGATTATTCATTTTGTAGTCCAGCACTGTTTCAATGAGATGTTTTATGTAGAACTATCATCCAAAACATTACGTATTGAGTCCAACACTAGCCATTTTACTATATAAAGCTTTTATTAACTGTAAAAATTGTAAAAACTTAGTACCAAAATGGTGACAAGAGTCATTACTCGCTAAGTGGATATGTCCACTAGTAAACAATCACTAGTAACTGACAAAAGTCAATTACATTGATAAGAAGTTAATGTATAGTGTGGGATTTTGTTTGGGGTTGTAATAGATCCAACCACTTTTTTTATAAATGACGAGGATATAACACAAATTGTCAATATTAATTTGCCGTTTTTTTGTGTAAATTTCAAGATAAGGATGTATAACATCCTTAACAGGTACCAAGCCCCATAAGTCTAGTTTTGACTTATTTGCGCAAGAATTTTTTAGACCGTGCAATTTTGCGTTTTGGTAAGCTTAATAGGGCATAAAAATTATACAATTTGTCTAAACTTAAAGTCCTTATGTTTTGAAATCAGATATCCGTCAAGTTTTGGCTAAGCTATTGCTAGCTATATAACAATAAATCATCGAAAATTATTTAGTACTGTAAGATTAAGTTTTAGCATTCTAGTATATATAGTATTCTAGTATATATAAATGATATATTGATGATATAGATCAAAATCTTAACCACAAATATGTGTTATTTTCTGTTATTTTGCGAATGACAAAATATATAACCCTGTATTAATGATGAAGTTACTTTTATTCCTTACATTGAAAATTTCTCACGTTAAAAATTTTGTTCTCCACAAATATTAAAAAATGTTATTGTGGGAATCACAAAATGCATAACCCTGTATTAATGATGAAGTTACTTTTACATTGAAAATTTCTCAGGTTAAAAATTTTGTTCTCCACAAACATTAAAGATATACAAGCTTAAAAAAATCCACAAGAAAATAAAACAGCTTTACTAAAGTTAAGATAAGTTCCATGAAAAACGTTGAAGAAGAATTTTATTGACAATTGCTTGTTATTTTATGTTAGTGAATTAAGTGAAAAATTTTTATTCTTTTACCAGTATTATGACTTCAAAACAAAAGTTTTTATTACAACTTCAACTTGAGTTGATTATCTATTTAACAAATTTAATAAAGTGCATGATGAATTATAGTAAACTCATTTTACTCAAGTACATTGTTGCAATAGTGCTGTAATACAGCAACAGAGTGCTATATGAGAATATTATACTTGTGTGTGAGATAGAAACGAACTTTGTTTATCTTAAGATGAAGCACATTTTAATGAAATTTCTTATGCCATATGACTAGAAGAGTAAATTTTCTTTTCTGCAACATTTACTTGCATACATAATAAAATAATTCAATTATTTTATATGTATTATGAGTTTATGACAAAATGCTCGGATCTAAGTGAATAAGACAAATTATAATGCCAAGCGTTGCCAAGCATAAATCATCAATGCTTTCCCATTAAAAAACACAAGTTGCTGACGTACACTTGACAGTTTTCACCAAAGTTTGCTCTTATTATTATTTCATTTTATTTTCCATTTTAGATGTGATGTTGTTTATTTTATTATACTCGTAATGCAGTTATAGTAGTAGGGAAACTCTCTTATCGTTTCGGTGAAACTGGTAGAAAAAGGTCATTTGTCATATGGACGACGACATGCAAAAAGTATATCAATATAGTGTGTTTTAGAGTAAAACTTTTTTAGTAGATATATTTATATATATTTTATTATATGCTTTCACATGCATAAAGTGTGCTAAAGGGGTTTTTCACTTGTCATTAAAGTTCGATAAGCTTGAATTGATAAAGTGAAATATTATGCGGTTAAATATAAGTTTTCAACAGTGAAAATTGCAAAATATATAAAAAAATTTTTTTGATTACTTAAAAAAAATTTTTCTTATAATTCAGAAATAACTTTTTCTCAATTTTTTTTCTAAACTTATTTCACTTGTTTTTAAAGCATTGTATATATATATTTCAACGGAATATATTACCTTGAAGTATTACATAGTATGTATATTAGTAGGCTTCAGTAAATTCAGTACCATCAGTAGATATTTTTATCTCATTAATCAAACTTTGTTAATGTATACAAAACGTAGTCATTTTTTCTAAATTTTCCATTTTCCTGTCAATAAATATCATCGACAGTCGTGTTTAAAACCAGGTGCAGTAATTTACTTACGTCGTTCCTGTTTCACTGTCAGCACTAAGTAAAAAAAAATTAATTCAATTTAATTGAAATTCAATTCGTTTGCGTTCAATATTGGCTGGAATTCGTTTGCCATTTGAAATCCCCAACGGCACAGATACATAGTCGCAGTACAAATGAAATATGCTGTCCATCAGCACGGCAATGTGACTTCGTTAGCTTAATAAAGTACTTTAGTCCCATTCTCATATCCCCAATCTAACTATTACGAAAGACTAATCTTTATGCTGGTTACACTTCTTTTTTTTCTAAGGTCCTATATCGATACTTCCGTTATGCTTCATATCAAAATATTTTCACGCAAAAATAAAGTTAATCGCATTTTAGCTCAAAACAAAATACAAAAGGAAAATTAAATTAAATAAATGACAAAGTTAAGAACAGCAAGAAAAATTGTTCAACATTTCTGCTGCTTCTTACTAGTCAGTCACTCACTCAGCGCAGGATATCGAATTTCTACAACCGCAGGATTTTTACTGACTGCCACCAACCAACGTCAATTTAAGCTACCAAACGGCAGTATAAGCAGCATAAGCAGCATAAGCAGCATTTGACAGCATCAGCAAAAATAACAAAAGTAAAATATATATATATAAATATATATTGTATATAAACTTTGTCATTTTGCTACACTGTTTTGGCTTAAGAAATACAATTTTCAGCAAATTTTAAAATTTTTACTTAATTTTCTCGCAGGCAAGCATAACATTTTCCTTGCCATCCTGTTTTCTACTACTTTTCAGTTTCCACTTAATCATATTTTATTAGCACACAAAAGAGTAGCAAATTTATTAAATTTTATATAGAAATTATTTTTACTAATTTGAACTTCATGCTAAAATATACATATATACGTTTACATTTTTTTTTTTTGTTGATTTTTTATTAACTTTATATAAACCACATAATTAATTAAATAAATCTTGTTAAATAGGATCGGAGTGTCAGTGAAGGAAAAAGTATTAAACAAAAAAGTAGGTATTTGCATTCAAGCTCAAGTATTAATCAGCAAAGCGATTTTCTTTTTATCACTGCAAACTTTTAAGATAAAAGGATTCTTTGATAGGCTCCCTAAAGTATTTTTGCTTTTACGAATATTTTTCCTTTACTCTCTTTTAATTAAAGAAAAAATAATTTCAAATTTAAAAAGTATTAAAAAAAATTATTTTTTATGCTTATTAAGTTACTTTAGCTTTATTCATATAAAAATTGTAATGACAAAGTCCTTTAGGGATTTTCAATTAAATTAATTTCTTTCAAAAATAACAAAACAGACAATTTTATTACAGCATTCAGTATTCAGTATTCTGTATTTCACAATAAGTAGCAGTAAAAAATGATTTTACTAAGAAGGGTCAAAAAAATGGGTCATTCTTATTTTCTTAGTATTTTTAATTGGATATTGTAAAGTAAACATAATTATATCCTTATTTTTAAAGGGTTTTTATAATAAAATATAATATTTTACGAATATATATGCACTATATTTTACTTATTAAAATATAAGTTAAAATTTGAGTGTTTTTATTTTACGGAAAAAACCATTAACAGATTTACTTTTGAAAAACTTCTATTTAATTTGTTAAATGGATAATCTCTCCAATAGTACATTTGACTTTCAAACAATTTTTAATAGTGCAAACTAATTATTCAAATTAATGATATCAGAGGATCATAAAAAAATAAATAAAAAAAATATTGCTACTTTTTCAAATCCTAGAACTAAAACTTAAATATAACTCTTTATACTAGGATCACAAAAAATGACTAGTCTAGAGCAAATGAAAGCAATGTTTGTAAGAAGCCTATACTAAAGTCTGACAACAACAATTGTACTAATGAAATTCATTAATCAAAATATTTGTAAAAAACTAATAATAAAGTTTGACAACAATAATTATACTAATAAAATTTATTCACAGTAAAATATTACGAAAAAACTATTCTTAAATAGGCAAGAAATGAGCAGTAATAAATTGTAGCAGTTAATTGAAGTTTATATAGCTGAGGTTTATGCACTCGTTCTAAATTGAATACAGCAAGTATTTTGTTGCTGTTAATGTTTGAAAGAACAATAAAAATTAACGAACCTATATATATATATATGAATAACGTATATTATGTTCAGCATTGTCTAGAGCAGTGCTGTTCAGATCAGATAAGTTCACGGGCCAATTCAAATCACTAAATAAGTTGGAGGGCCGCAGAAATAAATACATACGTTCATAATTTTAACAGAAAAAAAAAAATACGGTGATAATACTAAATTTAGTTTAATTAAATATTCTTTAATTTATCTTTTACAATTCTATCCATTAGTATGAATAGTTGCTGCCATATAAAATATTTTATCTTACTGGATATGCGGTTTTTGAACCAGTTGTGCAAAAAAAAAATATACTAACGTCTTTGTAAATTAAATAAATTCACATGAAGTGTAATCCATTAATACGTTTTGATTCTTTTATTTGCAACACTATAAAAATAAAATAATGTAATATCAAACATGTCGCAAGCCGCATTAGGCCCGTGCTTTGGATAGCCCTGGTCTAGAATATAGTAGTTCACACTGGAGACAGTGTTTTAAAATTGAAAACTTGGCACTTCTATAGTACTTCAAAAATTATACAAACTATTAAAATCAATAAATATTACCAGCAATGAATATTTAATGATAATCGAAACAGTGGTATGGCCAGTCAAAAATTGAATTAATTAAAAATAAAATGTTTGTTGTCATATTCTCTTACTATCTAGTTTCTATTTGCAAACTTATCATACTTAATTACTAACACTACCACACTACTAGATATAAACGTAAGTACTTCTAAATAAGGATCATGAACAAATCTTATAAAGAAGTATCTGAAGTACTTTATACCTTATACACATACTAATTGCTTTCGACAGAGACAAGTAGGTAAGCACATAGCCATGAGCCATTCTCAATTTATATAGCTTCATTCATAAGTGATAGTATATTCATAAATATGTAATATATTAATTCATACTAATTACTAACTGAAATACATAATATCGTATTTCATTTACATGCTAATTGTTTTTCATAATGACAAGTAGGTATGCAAGCAATCCTCAATTTGCTTAAAACCTTTTTGTTCCATTTTTTTTTTCTTAAAAAATTACTTCAGAGATAAAATGTCACTAACCGGCCGGACGCATTGTAAAAGGCGAGTAATTTGTAAGCATTTCAAATGCAGCGAGTTGAAAAATGGAATGCACAAATTAGAGTAATACGTGGCAGAATACCGAGATAGTGGCCTAGAAAACGATGTGACTTATTGTCACTTCAATGTGACCACAGAGCATTGAAATATACTAGAATAAAAATGCTACAGCAAAAACGTTTAACTTCACAGCATATTCGTGACTTCTGCATTAAAAGACATACTGTACATTTCTTTAGAAAGTAAAATATTTAACTTTATTTATTAAGCAACCAACTTTTACTGTGAAGATACTTTAAATTAAAATTAAATATATTTATTAATAAAATATTTATTAATATTACTTAATAATTTATATAGATAGTATATACATAGTGTATATATTAGTAATATAAATATAGTTTTAAAAAACTTTTTTTTTTTCGTTATATATTATTTATATAATTATTACTTTTATTTTTGTTATAAAGTTTCTTATGCATTTGTATCTTAAAACTTGCGATTTATTAGGCATTTTTTATGCATACTACTATTTTATTTAAATGTACACTTACCGACATAAATGCCTCAATGACATTACACCATATACTTGCTCCTTTGGAATAAGATTGTCCATCAAAAGGCGGCCATATTTTTCAAAAAACATTTCTCTTCTGACTTTGTAGACCATTGGCTAAAATTCAACAGAAAGATATAATGATCAGTAACTATAAATTGAATTTATTATTTATAATAAAAAAATAATTTAAATAAATAATAAAATAAAATAATTTTAATTACAAAAATACTTATAGATTAAAAATGTTTATTATATTTTTACATCTCATGATTGTTGTGAAGTTTGAATTGTGAGGAACCGTAACTGTATGGGATCCCACCATTTTTTTACTTATCTAGACATATAGTTCTGAGAAAAGTTTATAAACAATAAAACTTCATCTTCATGGTGAAGATGAAGTTTTATATATAAATAGAATTTAAATGAATAAACTCAAGATAAAAAATTGTATGTTGATATTTATATCAAAACAACAAACGGTTCAAAATTATAGTTTTTAATATAATTAAGTGATAAAATTATTTTTACTATAATTTAAGTGAATTAATAATTAAATATATTTATTTTATATTGTTTTGAATTTTTTTTTATATATTTATATAAATTGCCTTTGTGTTTGGTAATTTCCTGCCAGCCTATATTCCTATATTCTATAATTGAAGTGGCGACGCATTACAAATAAATTATAATTTAACTCTTTAATATTCAAATGGCAACATTTTCAAACATTTTGGACAACTGACAGATGTTGACAATTAACAATTGTCAAAAGTATTTTGCACACTCGTCAATTCAAATGTCAAAAACAGCAAAATTGTAATTATTTTCCATTCCAATCCATTTTTAGAATGTTTATCAGGATACTTCAAATATAATTTTTTTCTGGAAGGTTGCAGAAAATTAATTATTTTGGAAACTTAAGTAAAACAAGATGAGTTTAAGAGCAATGAAACAGTTGATAAATACTGTCATAGTAAAAATATAATCTTTTATTAAAAAATCGTTTTTAAGAAATTTGATCATATTTATTTAAAAATTAAAATTTTTAATCATTTATATTTATATATTTTATATTGCCATTTTTTTAATGACTGTCAGTCTATTTATTGTTTTTAAAGTAAATTAAAAAAAATTTTCAATATGTATTTTTTTTTATTTTAAATATACATATATACATATATTACGCTTATGTCCTAAACTTTTTTTCCAAAGTATTTCATTTTTATTGTCATGATTTTCTTAATCACACGCAGCAGTATGAACACTTTCGAAATTAACTTAATTTCATTTTTACGAAATTAAGTAATTACCAAAAAAATCTGTGCGACCAGAAACCCAAAGACGAGAACTGTTAAAACTAGCCGTTTTGTTTTATTTTCACTTGTCTGACTTAGTTTTTTTGTTGATTGATTTGGGGCAGTATGAACACTTTCGAAATTAACTTAATTTAATTTTTACGAAATTAAGGAAATTTGACTGTCTGAACATCGTATAAAGCTACTACTACCATTTAATAGTAGCAATTTAGTAGTAGCAATGAAAGTATGAACACTTTCGAAATTAACTAAATTTCAGTTTTACAAAATTAAGTAATTTTCAAAAAGATCCCTACGACCAGGAAACCAACGACGAGAACTGTTAAACCTAGCACTATTGTTTTATTTTCACTAGTCTGACTTTGTTTTTTTGTTGATTCATTTGGAGCAGTATGAACACACTTTATTTCACTTTTACGAAATTAAGTAAATTTGGCTGTCTGAACATAGTATATATCTACTACTACTATTTAATAGTAGCAATTTTATCTATTACTATTAAATAATATTTAATATTTTATAAATTTTAATATTTTTGATGTCTAATGTTTAATATGCTATTATTTAATTAAATTAATTATTTTAAATAAATTTATATAACAAACTAATGTTATTTTCTTAAATTAACTGATGCTGATAACTGATGATGATATCTTCAAATACAAAACACGTTAAGTAGTACAATTTGCATCTACCTAACTTGCTACGCATTGTGTTTACCTATTCAAACTGAAAATATCTCTTATCTACATAGTAGTGTTTGTAGTATAATACTCACCTTGTAAGGCATCTCAATCATAGGTATATTTCGTAATAAAATTTGCAAGCAGGACACATTCTGAAATACGTAATTGCGACCATTTTCTGTCAGTTTGTCAAGTAATGACACAACTACGGATGCTCCGCCATCCGGTGGGTTAGGATTGGCGCCATATCTGAACACAAGAAATTTCGAACGACATTGAATTATATTCGAAGTATTCACAGCATTTGTTATTGTAGTCAAAACAGCAGCCATCGTATATCGAGTCAAGTTTGAAGTTACATTTGAACACGGAGCGTTTTTCATTTGAATGCATGATTTGATAAATGAAAATAAATAAAAAGTAAATTTTCATATGAACACATAATTTGTAAGATATACGATCTGAATAAACATATCTATACTACTATACGCATTTATATACATATATATTAGAGCAAAGTAACAATAAATAATAATACTATATTATATGAGGTCCGCAAGATAAGGTTCAGGGCGTAAAAGTTGTGTATTTTATTGTGTAAATTTTTATATGTCACTGGACTCGGCAGGTGTGAATGTGTAGAAATTTTGAGTGTTAACCTTTTGCATTAATTTCTTTAAATTAAATATTTGCGGTTGAAAGTTTGGCAGAAATTTTATAAATTACTTGGCTAAAATACGCCTTCGGTCATAAATTCAAATATGTGGAAAATAATAAACGTAAATAACTATAAGGGTAAGCATCAATAATAGATGTGCCACCGTATTGAAAGTAATCACTTAAGGGCTTAGAATTCATAGTTTGTTTGTGTATTGAATGACAATTTTCCATATTTTCTTTAACAAAAAAAATACGTTTTTTATATTTATTTAATTCAATTAAATTTCTTTAAAAGAATTTTATTAAAATCAATAAATTTAAAATACTTCAGTAGAAGTAATTTACTCGAAACTATGTTAGAAATGTCTCAGAAATACTGGTATTAGATATTAATATGTTACGAATACCAATATGTCGTTCTAGATTTTATAACATTCGAACTTGTGCCAAATTTTTGGTAAGAAAATAATATTTATAGCAACTTTAGAAGAATCTAATGCAAAACATTGAACACACTCGTATATATACATATATATCTATAAGACAACCATAAAATTGTCATCGTATTTTTATAACTACTCTCATATTTTCAATGCGAAGTAAAATCAATAAAGTTTGTACTTGGCAAGAACTTTATACTTGAGTGCAAATATTTTTAAAAAAATATATTTATGTATATGAATGTATATCCATATAAATATAAATTTATCTCGTCTAATGCTTTTTTGTATTGAGGAGAAATATTTATGCAAATTTTATTTTACATAAGTACTTTGCAGTTTAAATTATTGTAGAAAACTGAGTTTTTATTTTTTTATGTTTGCTTAAAGGACCTGCAAAAACAAAATATTCGAATAAAAATTTATGCAACTCCCATTGAGGAGAGCTTTAAAGAAGAAAATATCAGTAAGTTGAAGAAACTTTTGGAATATTTTTTTAAGTTTTTGCATATATATTTATTACTGTACAAATTACAATTAAATTGTCAAAATATTCAAATAGTGTTAGTTTTCTATTTGGAATGAAATGAATGAATTTCTGTAGCTCTGTTGCAATGCACAAAAATAATAAAAATCTTCGGATTGGAAAAGGAAAATTCAAAAGTCAAAATATTTATTTTAAACACAATTTTAAATTAACTATTTATTTATAATTCTATTTATACTATATAAAAACTATACAGTTTCATTACAACTTATTGTCAAGTATCTCTAAGCAATTGTCTTACACTTTAATAGTCAATTAGTATTTCATTAAATAAAGCCAAAGTGAATGTGACTCTTTCATCTAAAATATAGTTATTCGTTATTTTTTTTTATACCAAATAAATTTAAAAAAAATAAAAATATTTGATTAAAACTCTAAAAAAATACTGTATCGAAAAAAACTTTAAATGAACCTCACTAAATTTCAATTAACTTGTTAAAGTTTAAGTCAAAAGGGTTGTCCTAGAATCTAATTAAGCCTATTGAACGATTGTGCAACCGTAAAAAACTCAGAGTAAACTCAAAGAGCTTTTTAAGGAAATATCTTCTAGATCTACTTTAAAAACATCTAGGTCAGTACCTATCACATTCAATTTATATTCTACTGAACACTACCAAAACAAGTATAAATACTTTTTTCGTTTTCCGCGAAGAAACGAAGAGAATCCTTGGAAAGATAATACAATCTTCCAGCATGAAAACGTAACCAACAGTATGACACGTCACAATAGCAAACCTATAAATAATTATACATAGCAAACCTACTGATATCTTTATTCCAAAATGTTTTCAAGAACGACAACAGCATGTGTTTATTTAATCGTCCAGTATGATAACCTAACCAACAGTGAACCACCTACAAACCTACTATTCATAGCAAATCTACTGATATCTTTATAGGAAATCTTAATATAGCTTATAAGTTTAGTTTAAATTGTGCTGGATAGTTTTTATTACAAAATAGGTTAACTTGCATATAAAAGTCAGCAAAATATTAATTCTTCTCATCTTATATTAAATTACTTAAACAGAAAGATTTCAGCAACTATTAAATGATCGTAGCGGTATCACCAGACCGTTCAAATTTCCAAATAAATTCCAGAAGCAACTATTCTGGTTTACACATTTGCTATGTACCATAATTACCAAAAATGATCCCTGCGACCGGGAACCCAAAGACGAAAACTGTTAAAAAGTGTCGACAAACATACAAAGCTTTTATTTTTATTATATTTTTAGTGATATTAACTAGCACTTTTGTTTTATTTTCACTAGTCTGAATTGGTTTTTTTGATATTTTTTTATAGTGTGTATTCGAGTAAAGTTTAATAAATGAATACATAAATAAAATAAAAAATATTTTAAGTTAAAAAAATTTATAACAAATAATTTAATAAGTTAATGCTCTCTTATTAAACTTTTCTTTAAACTTATTATCATAAATATATTTTCAATGGACCTAAATCTTATTTTTTTACCATTTCGTATTAAAGTGATTTTATTTGCATATTGAATATTATAATGTGACCAAAGAAAATGTTGCTCTAAGACGTTTTGGAGTCACAAAACTTTTCTTCTCCCACAACAAATTATTTTTTTCGGTACTCAAAGACTTTAAAGTACTTTTTAGTCTCAAGGACTTCTTTTGCACTTAAAGTGAAACCAAAGATATTTTTAAATATAACAACAAACATTATGGAAATTTTTAAAGACTTTCATTTTAATTCAATTTAATTGTTTCAAATTTTTTTAACTTTAATATTATTTCAACCTTTAATAGAGTAACTTTTTTTAATCGCTTTTATTATAATTTTCAATATTGAATTTTTTTTATTTGCATTAACTTACCTTAATAATATTAACAGCAAATCAGGCGCACTGGCCTGTAAGGCAACGCGTAAAGGTGATGATTTACCACAGGACTCTATGGGAATATCAATGAAACTGTAAAAAATTGAAAAAAAAAAACATTTTTTATAAACTTTTTTTTAATTACTACTAATATGTTAGCATTTTAATATTCATTTATATTTATTTTTTCTTCATTTATTCATTTAGTTATATCATTAACATATATATAGTATACATAATATATTGGAAAAAATAACAAAAATTTACGCAGTAGACAGTTGTATTTAGTCGAAGCTTAAACGTTAAATGATGGCTAGATAACAACCATGATGGCTAGATAATAAGACTGGTGATGTATTATTTTTCACAAACCAAATATCCTTAAACAAAATAATCAGATCTGGACCCTATTAATACTGTTATATATTAGAACAGCAAATTCTCATCAGGTGACATCAAGAATATCATCAGGTTGTTGAATATATTGAAAAACTGAATATTCTTAACTAAAATAATCAAGTCTAAATTCTATGTGTTCTGACAACGTTATTGTAGACGAAAGTTTGTCTACAGGAAAGTAGCAACTCTGTTATTAAAGAGAAGAGAAGAAACAGAGACATTGTACTGGAACAATTCGCCAAGAGTATTGTAATTAAAATTATTTAAAGGGACTAATTGTCATATTATTTTTTTTACTAAGTTGAGAAAATTGGATATACGACCCACACATTTAAGGGTGCGATAGGGTTTTGTAGGATACACCCATTTCAAATCAATTATAGTAAAGTCAGTTATTTAGAGTTATATGTCGATATAGTTTTACTTATATACCAATATATATAAACTTCTCACATTATGGAAGTTGTATGTCGATTAGGTTACCAGAATAAACTTCACACGCCATATAACGCGAATTAGTATATGTTAGTATTAGTATATGTATATTTGGAGCGTTATTTTTAGTATTTCTCTATACATATGAATGCTTTTGTCTTCATTAGAAGGATTCCTGTTATTTTCTAGAAGAATATTCTCTAATATTTTTCTATTTGCTACAGCCTTTAGGTAATGTTTTCGTTTAATATTACTTTATATATTTCAATGTTTTTTATATCAACTAAAAATTTGTAACAATTTTGTCAAATTAATCATAATAAACGATAAAAAATATAAAATATCCCAAACGAATGTTGGCAATAAAAAATGAGCTTTACGTTGACATAAATTTCATTAAATTTCAATCTGAAAAATGTTATTTATTACAAATATGCTTCTAGTAAAAAGAAGCACCCAAGGCACATAAACTGTTGTATCGGTAAATCGGTGAGACAATAAAATTTTACCTATGAGAGAGACCAATGCGATGCAATAAATTTTATTTTATTCATTTTTCATATACAAAGTAATAACAAAAAAAATCATTTTATTTTTATTTTTCTATTTTCTTGACAAACAAAAGCATTAAATTATTTTAAAGTAGCTGTGACACATGTGGTTATAAAAAATAAATAAAAATAAATATATATATATATGTATATATGAATATATATATATATGAATATAAAAGCTCCAGTATAGTTATATACATATATATGTGGTCGATTTTTTTAAGGCATGAAATAAATTTGTAGAAAATATAAGCCATGAAAACCCTAACACATATAAGCATATTTGCATAAATTTACGCATTTTAAGTTGACAGACACAAAAGAACGGAAGTAAAGCAATTTTTCAGGTAAATGAAAGTGAAAAGGAAAATAAAAAAATGTTCACAAAGTTCTTAAAAAAATAAAATGCGAAATGTATGTAAAGTACATACTCGTACTCATAAAAAGATAAAGGAAAAGGAAATAAACAAAGTTAAGGATAAACGCAGTTAAACAGTGGCAACAATGACAACAGCAACAACAAATTTATTTATATTTTATTTGCAACAATAAAAAAAATTGTCATTGTGCTACCAAAAAATCCTACAGGATATAAGCCGTCGTGCTATTTTGGCCTGGTTTTACATGAGATAAAGAAAATAACATTTAAGCTGCTTAAGTTTGTTGTTCGCTAATTTGAGTCAGAAGACAGTCAAAAAAATTAATATCAAAAATTAAACAGAAATTGTCTCAGGCACTTTGCAAATTTGAAGAATAAAAAATACCCTTGACATGTATTCAATTTCACTCTAATTTACTAATTATTTTAAGAGTTTTTTTAATAAGATTTTAAAGTAATTTATTTAAAAATCTAGCAGTTAATCTCATATTTATATACTGAAAATTTGAATAACAAGAGAGTTAAATTTAATTTACTTATAAATTTGCATCAACAAAGATTTTTAATGGAAGCTACAGCTGAAGGATTACGGCAGGATCTTTAGATGAGTATATACTCGTTAGAAATTCAGTCAAATAATTTAAATCATACATTTATAATAATGATATTAATTCTTTATATTACGAAAAATATTGAGTATCAATTTTAGAGATTATTATTTTATATTATCCTAATGATTGACATTGTAATAGATTGACAAATACAAACGCTACAGTTTCTACAGCGGACAACACTTCATATTTGTTGAATATCCATTTAAATTTATCGCAATATGCTTAACGTATAAATATACATAAATTAAAGATATTTTGTCATATATTTATATTTTTGTAATTTATATGCAAAGTACAAGTACAAGTATTATAGAATAATAAGTTATTCATCAACCGAACCTATTTTTCATTTACATGAAACTTATAGCTAAAATTCTATCAATTCATTCTATATTTTAAAAAAAATATTTCGTTTTTTTGGACCGTGACCAAGACGAACAGACAAGTTCACTAAATCTTACTTGGCCAATTATACACTTATTTCAACCTTATAGATTTATAGCTTATTAATTTAACTGACACGAAAACACTAGACTTAAACATCAAAATTGTAAAGAATAAAATAATTGTAAAGAATATTTGTGGCATGTTGTCATACAATATAATGAATTACTTCACAACACAATAATATCTCTTACAGTTTCTTTTATTCAAATAGCCATAACAACCCTATATCGAGTGTCAGCCTGAAAGAGCATTTCTCTTTAGGCGCCTATATTGCGTATACGCCTTTGTCAGTCTCGTAGATCAAACGCGGTTAGTGCTTTCTCAAACCGATCACTCTATTGGAGACATGGTCTACATCTACGCTTTATTTTGCCATTCTTGTTGTTATTTGTTACGGCAGTGCTAAGATAGATGCAATATTTAACAGATTTGAAAGTCATTAGCCTAGCCTGACCTGTAGATACTTCGTTCTCTATTGATCTTAATTACTTTTCTATTAACTACAACTATGAAGAAGGAAGGTGCTTAATAACACAAGGTTGATACAATTGCCTACATCAACAATCTAATTACTCTATAACTACATTGGACTTCAAAATGCATCATTGGAAACAATATATACAGCTGTTATCAAACTGATTTCTCGTTACATACCACGAATATGGATATTGCAATGATGCTATGATTTGTAAAGCCCTTTCTCCACTTTGCATGCGTCGAGCTTTTTTTTTCTTTTGTGCTGTGAATATATGAATAGCTATTCCAACTGAGGCTATATAAGTAAGGTTATATCTTAGTAAAAAAAACGTATTTCATACCAAAGCAGTGTTTGCTCTGAGATAATGTTTGTAATGCAACAAAATTTCTTACAAACATCGCTTTAAAATCACTAAGAAATGAAAACTGAATAAAAGAATCCTCTTCCACCTGCAATTATTGTCTAATCGATTTCAGTTTATAGTCATGAGCTACATAATTATTAGGTGCGTATAAACTCGTCTTTCTCAATCTGTACCAAAACTGCAGCTTATACTCCGTACACATGTATTTACGTGTACATATTCGAATCAACACACCTATTGGACACTCTATTAATTTTTGGATATGTTTTATACAAACTTTGCAAACTTTGTTCACCATAACCCACACTAAATTAAATTAGCTCGTCATTTACACCCACATCCCTATACTTTATATGCTCATATATGTACCTTACAAACTGCTCTATCAGTTCTCATTTTGTTTAATTAACTTCAAACTATTTTAAATTTAAACGTTATTCATACAATATAAACATTTTAAACTTTCCTTTTAACTTTAAAATATATTAGAAACTTTTAACTTTAACTCATATGTATAGATAAGAGAACTTTTAATTACGAGATAACTATTTCGTTTAATTATAACTTCAAAAACTACATCTTTAGGACATAATTCAATAAATGTTAGTTATTTGGTAGTTGCTTCAACCTTCCAGTTTCAGGCTTCAAGCAAAATGTGTTTAAAATGCTCCTATTCAGTTTCAATTCTAAGCCATTATGCGAATTAGTGTTGCACCTTAGTCTGTTGTCTTTGATGGTTTGATGGTTTGACGATTTGACTTAAATGTCGCTTCATAACAGCTTTTATCAAATTTACTCTGCTGTGTCTGACATAAATGCTACTTTATGTTATCTTTGTTTACATTTTCTATCAAATTTTTCTGCTTCTGCACTTCTGTATAGGCAGCAGCATAACAGTTAACATTCGACTAAGCTTTAATCCCAGGCACAACTTCATTATGCATTGATTACACGCCTTCGAACTGAGAATTTGTGAACATAAGCGACTATAAATTCATACTCGTACGCATACGTGTACATTTTTACATATGAGTTTACATGCTGCAGCAGAACAGTTGTGTATGTTACAGCTGTGCACATATACATACATAAATTTACTAGAATTGCCATTGTTCTGATTCTAGTGATTGTATGATTGTGTTTATGTTAGCGTATGTGTTTTTAGGCATTGTATAAGCAATGTAAAGTATTAAATGTTGTTCCTGAGCTGGTAAAACATGGTTGAGTCTTTGTTTTTAATTTGAATTAAAGAGCAAAAACCTGTACAAAATATTTTTCATTCAAGCCTTAAGTAAAACAATATTTACATAACCTTGATTAACAAAATTTAATTAAAAATATTTTATATTTTTTTTAATTTATATTTTACATTTTAATGCAATCTTATTTTTAACAATAAAACATGGAAAAGTGCTGGTGCTGTAATGAAATAAAATAATTTTTGCCCTCACATGTTATTTTACTTAAATTTCTGCTTGGGCTCATTAAAATGAATTTAATTTAATTATTTTGCGCTCAAATTATGGCAATTTCCCAGGACAAACATCTTTTAATTAAATTCATTCGCATTCGGGTTCAGTCAGATTCGGATTCCCTTTTCCCTCGACATGGAATTGTAGTAATACTATTATTGTCGTATTTATTGTGTGTCACTTAATTTAATTATGTTAAGATTTTTATTAAAAACCGCAACCGAAGGAGTTTTATGTCAATGGCAACAATAAATTTCATTAAAATATGTTGCCTTTTATTAATATTATTTCATTAGTATTTGCTGTACTTTGTTTTTGTAATTTGTTACACTTGTATTGGTGTTAGGCACACAGTTGTAGGTTTAAAGCAAATAACTTATATACTGCGATATGTACTATACTATATGCTCACTTATACAGTATATCAAAAGACTAATTTTTTGAGAAATAGAGTTTTCATACAAATTAATATTAGAATTTAAAATTAGAAAGCAGTGATTGTGTAATTGGGTCGGGCAAGATACCTAAAATCTTCTCAAAAATGTTTTAATCCATTTTCATTAGGAAAGGCTACTGCACAATAACAAATTACGTACTAAAAACAATAATTGAACCACTTTTACAATGTATTTTGTCATTCCGTCATTGTGCTTCTTTACTTAAATTCACTATATCATCTTTCAAAAGACTTTTATATATATTTTATGGGTATCAAAGAATAGTTGTTTTAATTGTCATCCAGATAGATATTAAGAGACCCAAATTTTAGCAAAGAATATCGAAACTAGATACAGAGTGTCTTAAAAAAATCTAAAACAAATAGATTAAATGAGTTTCGAGGTGTGTTGAGATTGAAGATAATGAAAAGATTGACAAAGTAGAAAGTAAATGAACACAGCCTTTTGACAGTAGGTGGAAGCATCGAAAGCCAATGTGTGAGACTTGAACCCACTAAACCACCTCTTATTAATGAATGGAGAAGATTTCCACAGCATTGTGAAAACTTCATTCCAGTAATCAGGGGAGAGAGGAAACAAAAAGTTTTAGTACCTAGCGAGCTAGATTTATGTAAGCCAGAAAGCCACCCACACTCAAGTCTGTATTATATAGACACTGAATATATAGATTCACGAAAAGATTGATAAACTAGCAAGGAAACAAACACCACCCTTACTTAAGTATGTATTATATAGATACTGAAATAGTTTAACGATTAAGGGTAAGACAAACTTGTAGAAAATATGAGTAGCAAACATGTTTTTAAATCTTTGATAAACTGGAAATATTTTCTTAGTTATTAGAAAATTGAAACAGAAAGGACTGAAAGTAAGATAAATTCAGGAAAAAAAACAGCAACGTTACTAGTAGCCCCAGAACTCTTTTGTACACTGAATATATATTTCAATTATTATCATTTATTTATTATTTGCATAAAAAAGAACAATAACCTTGCTAGTAGAACCAGAGCGCTTTGATGAACTGTAGATATTTCCTTACTTAATAGAAATGAACAGAAAAGATCGATCAGCAACCGTGCTAGTAGGTCTATGTTAAGAGGCATTGTTAGCTTAGAAAAGATTAATACCTTTTTACTTAATATAACTTAAGGGCAAAAACAAGACTTATCTATGTATGTATAAAAACGAAAAATTAATTGAGATAAACTTACCTAATCATACGTTCCTGTTCGAATCTCGCTATCCATACTGGCAGTTTCATACAAAGGTTTGTGGCATGATGTAGAAAATATACCATAGCGCGTATATTTTCATCCTATTTAAAATATTTAAAAAAAATATAAATTTTAATTTTATTATCCATATACTATATATATAATATATCAAACCTGATCACGAAAGTCACTACGCCAGCCTGCTATAAAATGTGGAGCATTTGGGCCAAATAAAGCTCCTAAGAATATGCGTTCAAAAGTCTTTTCGCATGAATAAATTTCTTCTGTACATAAAAAAAAATTTAAATGTTTAAAATTATATACTGAAATATATATTTTATAATAATTTATTTAAATTCAATTAAAAATATAATATAACATCATAAGTCGAAAAAAGGTGTGAGATTTTTTAAGAACTGATAGATGTTATATACAAAAACTTTTCTGAATAAAAAAATTCAGGTAAAGGGAATAACAAATTTTTAAATAATTACTAAAATTTAATATAGTTCTATACAACATAAAGCAAAATAATCCTTTTTAAATTGTATTTTTCAAACAAAAAATTCAATACAAACAATTCAATTTAATTACAAAAATCCTATATATTTTTTTAGTGCTGTTGTGTGTCAGTATGTCAGTTGATATTGCAAATGCTGCATTTCGGAAGCAACGATTCAATATCGCCAACACAATTTTGGCTAAAAACATTTGCATATTAACTCGAATAACACGATTTTGTTGTGGCACAGCTCAGCACTTTACAATCTTGTAAACAGAAAAAAATGCATTGTAAGTGCTGCAGTAAAGCAGTAAAAAAAACATTACACCACAACACTCCCCTACATGCTTCACTGCAATGCGTAGAACAACAAAACAGTTTCAAGTGTCAAAATGTAAAGTAAATGGAAAAATATTCGTTGCGTTCACCGCACTTGTTGCATGAAATTTGTTGCAAAATCCTCCAACAACAACAACAGACACAGAATTATTTGCACAACTAAAATGTTGCACAAACGCAGTTATTCTTGTGACTATCACTGCCATGTTAAGCCGTTGGATATGTAAAATATCACGCACTGCGGGATTTTTTTCACTATTTCGGCGAAAACTGCAACTGCCAGGACAAATGCAACTGCTGCATTACAAGCAATAATGCAATTACAATAATGCATTGATAGTACAAAGCAAATAAGGACACCCCTTCTTACGTCCTCTACATTTGTAAGTGTGTAAATGTTCAAAATTAATAATTCTACAAAATTGCTGTTCAGCAAATTTTGAAAAATGTTTAATATCCTTCGAAATTGCCTAAAATATGAGTATGCTTTGCACTGTACATTTTTTTGGAAGTGGTCGACAAGGATATGTGTAAAATTTTATGAATTTGATGTTTGCTATAAAAAAAAAATAAAGAGTAGAGGATAGAGGATTTTTCTGATATACGCAATTTTAATGAAAAAACGAAAGAATATTAAAAAAAATTCAACTGATTTTCAAAGCGAATTAAAGGAAAGTTTTTTCAAGAGATAAATTTTTTAACCCAGTAAATTTAAACAAAGCAATTGCGAATTCAGCAAATATTCTTCATTCAAGAATTTACTTGCTTAAAAAAATATCTGAAAAATTTAATTGAATAAAAAAAAATGTCTCTACAAAAAATTAATTCAATTATTCTTAAGCTTTCGAATATATAAGTCAAGTACGGCATTGGTTCAGTCGGCTAATGAACACCGACTCTGAGCTTCAAATTTGGCAGGGTAAGAGTTCAACCCGTGGTATTTGAAGTCTCCAAAAATTATTTACGAATAATCATATAAAAGAATAATTTCAAAAGACCATTGAAGATGGGAATCTGATAATACTCGAAACAACTGTATAGTCAGCCAAAAATTCAATCAATTGATAAATAATAAAATTTTGTTATAATTTATTAATATTCAATATATATCTATAAAGAAATAAGTTTTGTAATGGAAAAACTTTTCCCTATTGCAACCACTTTTCTATGCGAAATATATTACTTGTCATAGGATATAAAACTTCTAATTGGAAAAGCTTAGCTTTAAAGTAGATATGTGAGTAAATGGTTCAAAAACACAGGGTTGGCCACTATATAATATATAATGGTATAAGTATTTAATTATTTGGAAATATTCAATTATATAAGAAAATATGAACTATAATAAGTTCGATGAATCGATATGAAAAATGGATCTTAACTATAATAAGTTCGATGAATCGATATGAAAAATGGATCTCCCTTAACCTTACAAAACTTATTTTAACTATATTTCAATTTAAGAATCTCATCTGTATAGTTATTTTCTGGAAAATCTGCGAAAAACAACACTACTATAGCTATTACCTCGTTGTTTGATGAAAAATTGTTTGAGACATAAGAAAAGCGAGTAGTCAGAGAGATATTTCGTAACTTCATTCAATGATTTAGTCATTATTTTTGAACCTGTAAATTCTGAGGTGTATTAACTCAATTAAAAACGTATTTTTTTTTGTAAACCAGGTCCCTTCCATAACTTTTTGATTTTAACAATGACTTTAGAAATAATTTTTAGAGATGAGTGTCATGGATGCATTATCTTAATAGAGTATTATTTCATCAATAAACCAAATATTTTATACCAAATTTTCTCATTTAAATGTTCCAAAAAGTTGGAATAATTAACTGAATTTATTCTTTTATAAGTTTTAAAATAATATATTAGCAAAATTCTCTATATATTCAATAATAAAACTGACGCTAACACTATTTCAAGAAATATATAGACTCATAGTAGAATCATAGTAATAGATCCAAATTTCGTCCATAGTAATAAAAACATGCAAAAAATTCTTTCTATTCTTACTGAAATGCTCCAGATGTTGCTAGCAATATATATATTGTATACATAATATATATATTTCTTATATACTTTATATACACTGCTTCGATATATATTTTTCTGTGTTTATGAAGTAGAGCAAACATTGAGCACACAGTTTTTTGGAACCCAAAATAAAATATCGCTCACTGTCCTTACTAGCATGCCTTGAGCTTGTAATAAATCTCTCTTTATCAATCGACGATCTTCATAAATCATATCCAGTAGTTTTATGAAATAAAATATTGTACATTACAGTTTAAAATATTATTCAAATTTTTCGAAACTTTATACATTCTGATCTTCGAGCTGCTAAAACATTTTCGAACATTTAAAGTCTATAATCGAAATATTCGAATGAGAGTATACTTGAGCATTTGAGTATACTTGAGTACTGCGTGAGTTCAATTATTATTTCGCGCCGTTTTAGTGGTTGAATGGAGTAACCCTTCAAAAACTATGAAGTACTAACATACATACATTCATTAAAGTGATAAAAAGTGATATATTTACTATTGAAATATACTTTGAATATATATAAAATTAAATTATATTCAAAATATTCTTCTTATATATAGTCTTACAAACATTTATATAAAATGTACCAGCAATTTATGCATAAAATTTATTACTTTTTATTTATGATTTACATTTAACTAAATTGCCATTTGTACTGAACAAAATTTATTTATTTAAATTAAAGGAAACAAAATAAATAAATCTTTTATTTTTTCTGTAACTTCTCTGTATGTTTTTATAAATCCAAATACAAATCTTTGAATATTTTCTTCATTCATTTTTATTACAAAAATTTTTATTTTATTACACAAACATCAAATCTTTTGCCGAAATCATAAAAGTCAATAAATTAGAGATTTTTATTTCGAGACCACATAACAATTGCTTACCCAAAAGCTCGACCACCACGGCGGAATCTCGTACTCCCCAATCCCAGCAGGTGCGTAAGGCAATATACAAAATATTATGAAATTTTCCCATTAAACACACCTGGAAGAAATACAAAATATAAATTTATGTAAAAGCTACAAATTATTTCTGAAAATGCAGGAAATGTAAAAAACTAAATAAAATTATTTATTTAGGTATATATTTAGTATTTAAATGAAAGTTCGTAAAGTTAAAATCCTTTGAATTTTTTAAAATCTTCCCTTTTATAACATATTTATGAGATTGTAAAATTTTTAGTATAATAAAAGAAAGCTTAAATAAGATTAATTTAAGAAAAAATGAATATATATTTATGAAGAAGATTTTTTTACAATTAATCCTTACCGAACAGAATACATTTACTCCTTCTAAAAAGGGCCAAAATGGCTGCCGTTGAAGCTCTCATCCAATATTCTCAACTCGGTTTAAGAAAGTTAGTATATTTACATCACATGAGAGTTTTGTGGTTTACAGAAATATATTAATTGACCATAAGTCATACAATAAATGATAAGCTAATACATAAACTTTAGAATAAACAGTTGTGATAGTATTAGTTCATGGGCACCAAAGATGCAAAAATAGTTAATAATTCAATACAATATTTTCGACTCTCTTGAAAGAACATATATTTGGAAATCTCTCCAATGTGTTTGACATTTCTCAGAAAATAATCAGTTCGGTTGGAAATGAGTAGCAAATCATTCAATATTCAGAAAACTTCACAATAGCACTTTATTGTGCAGCGTCAGATTTGTATGGACCACGGACCTAAAGAAAGACATGTTTTTTATCCTTGTTGGTCTTGATTATAGACTTGGTTTGGATATAGGAAGTTTTAACAGTAAAACATTCATATTAATTAGAGACTATAGAGTCGCTTCCTCAGAGATATGTACATATACAACCTAAACTAGTTATATTGATCAGAGAATCGGTTAAAACAGGTTTTAATATAAGCATCTCCAAAACGAAGTGGGTCCAAATCAAAATGTCTAACGGTGATATATTCTTAATCGAATGAAGAATGTTGTAGATATCAGCAGTATTATATATTTGAGCAGCGTTATTTTCACTACCTCTAGAATCAGAAGTAATATTTGTATTAACATTCAGACAACTTAGGAAATGTGTTTATACATACATTTAGAAAGCTCGGAAGTGTTATTCTTTAATAATCAAGATAAGTTATATTCGGTTAACACCAAGAATACAATGAATAATAATAATAATAATCTTTATAATAAAAATAATAATATATATAATAATAATAAAAATATTTATAATAATAATAATAATGTTTATAATAATAATAATAATATTTATAATAATAATAATAATATTTATAATAATAATAAATCAAATAAAAATTATTGTGAAATTATAAACAAATGTTTGTGCATTCATTAATGACACAATATCCGATTTATTATTTATTTATTAAATTATTTTTTTTATTAATTTATTTTTTTATAAATTATTTTTTAATAATAATAAATTTTTAATAATAATAATAATAATATTTATAATAATAATAATATTTATAATAATAATTATAATATTTATAATAATAATTATAATATTTATAATAATAATTATAATATTTATAATAATAATAATAATTATAATATTTATAATAATAATAATAAAAAATCAAATAAAAATTATTGTGAAATTATAAACAAGTGTTTGTGCATTCATTAATGACATAATATCCGATTTATTATTTACTTATTAAATTATTTTTAAATAATAATAATAATATTTATAATAATAATAAAAATTATAATAATAATTATAATATTTATAATAATAATAATATTTATAATAGTATTCATAATAATAATAAATCAAATAAAAATCATTGTGATATTATATTCGATTTATTATTTTTTTTTTATTATATTATTTTGTTTTTTATTATATTATTTTTTTTATTAAATTATTTGTTTTTATTAAATAATTTTTTTTTTATTAAATTATTTTTTTATTGTTTCCTAACAAAAAAAAAATTCTTAAAAAAAATAAAAGAATAATAACAGGATATTACATACATCACCATTGGCATTCTTTTTTTCGCGATGATAGCGAACCGCAGCAAGCACGGCCATGCGAGCGACTTCCTCTGTGTGCATATTTTGTCCTGTCAATGTAGAAAAAAAAAAAATATTTTTGTACTTCATTAAAATCAATTTAACTTCAATAACTAAATAATAAAAAGAATGTCATTGAATTATTGCAATCAATAAATATTTGCAGTAATGTAATAAACACATATAAATCCAAATAATTTAATTTTTTTAGCAAATATTTTTTTTAACACATTTCATACCATTTTTAACTTAATTTATTGATTTTCTTTTTATACCAATATTTATGAGAAGTTTATGAGAAATACTTGCCATCACTGCAGCCACCAATTACGGCGTTCAAATGATCCAAGACATCACGGCGTGACGACCGGTCCTGGAGGCCATTACGTGTGATTTTCTCGAAGGTATCCTCGAAGAAACATTCGAAGATATACTCCATTTTGATTTGACGGTTCGTGATTTTCTGATAGGAACGTTTTGTAGGCAGTTTTGTGGAAGCGAATAGCTTTATGAATTGAAAAGAAAATGACATAGGCTTTCTTGTGCACTACTAGGAAGCCATAAATATGCAATTTCACGTAAATGCTTTAACAATGACCTTTTGTAATCAAAGAAATATGAGCGGTCGGGCGGTGAGACATCAAATCGATTAAATTAAGTTAAATATAATTTTTATATATCGTTTAAATATTTAAAATATCTTAAATTATATTATTTTTTTTTTTTACAATTTTATCTCAAATTGGTAATTTTATTTTAAATTTTTAATATAATTTTTTCATTGAAAAAAGTTATCGCAAAACCACACAAAATCGCTGTGAATGGCGCGCAATGATTGCCGGCACTTTAACATTTACTCGTCGTATTAGAGCAAAATCAGCAACAACTTATCGCACATTTACAACTCAATAAAATCCTTTCAATATTACTTAAGCTACGTTACTTGCTACAATCCGAAAATTCCCTCTTTATGTATCGCATGCGAATATTGAAAGATAACTAAACTTCAAATGCAAAGGACAGAAAAATTGGTGCGCTCTTCTAGGCGGCTACGTATATTGTAAATTTAATAAGAAAACAAAAAGCTAAAGAGTAGCAATAAAGCTATGCTCTTAAAATCAATAGCAGAGTATGCAGAAAATATATTCACTATTTTTGTGTACAATGTTAAAAGCTTTTTTAACATTGGCAACACTGCGCACTGAGCAGAGAGCAGAGCATAGTGACTGTCAAAATTTTTTGTAAACAAAACAATGAATTTTACTTTATGCTAAGCAAAATATAAATAATTTCATTTTGAGTTATTAAAAAAGTTGCACATGATTATTGAAATTATTTAAAATATTAGGCATTATATGTATGTAATGTAACACTTAATAATTGCCCAATAAAACACTTTTTTGACCGCATAACTTTACCACCCGTACATTGAACTTGTTTTTGCGTACATAACAAAATGTTTGCTACATTTTTTGAATTATAATTTATTTTTACATAAGTTTCACACAATAATTAAAAGAATAATCATATTTTTAGATAATTTCACAGAATTGCTTGAATTTCATTCAAAAATTTTATTAATTTATTTATTTTCGACTCAAAACAAAACGCATACACAAAAGCGAGAAACAAAACTAACAACGCATATGTCAACAACAGCAGAGCAAATGTCAAATTTGTTTATTTACACAAGAAAGCACAGCGACTCCCAAATAAAAAGTTTTCTGTAATATTACTCGAAACTAACATTTTCTGTTAAAAAATAAATGTTATTCATGCATATGTTAAATAAAATGTTATTGGTTATGTATTTATGGATTGAAAAAATATATATTTATTTATTTATATTGAGTGGATTATACTTTTGTTAAAAAAATATATAAATAAAAAAATATTCTTCTTTTTAAGTTATAATTAAAGAAAAATTTTATTTTATTGCAATGAAAATATTTGTATAGACATAGTTGCATATTCAGCGATGGAAGGGAAATTAATGTTACGTTGCAGCACAGATATTAATATGTTAGAAAAGTTTTTTATAAATTTATTTTGAACAATTTTCTCTTATTTCAATTACATATTTTTTTAGCTTTCTTTTTCATTACTTTTAAATTGTAATATGACATTTCCTTAATGCTAATAACTGGCACAATCTGTTTTATATTATTAACGAGTGTGTATAATTATAATATATGTATACATATGTATATGTATGTATACATATGTGTCAAATTCGGTACTAACTGTTTACATAATGATTGAAGTGTTAATAATTCAATTGTCTTAAAAACAATAATAAAACTTTATACAAAATCATACCCTTTGCTGTGATAGTAATTAATGATCAATTTAAGCTAAAACGGGGAAGCCAACCTATACTTTTATAGAAAACATAAATCGATAAATTATCGATATTCCGTTTTTTTATGACAATATTCAGACAACTTAATTTACTATTGAATTAAATAAATTCTCTGAATAATTTTATAAGTAGTAAGTCAAATGTATTTCGTGATAACATAGGTTAGGTACGGTTTAGGTTAGGTGAATCTATGTAACAGATACCACATAGACCGCCTATGGGTCAATTTCGCTACCATAGAGCTCTTAACCAAGGTGCCCATACTTTTACTAATTTTACTATTCCTTTGGGAAGAGAAGTACTTTAATATTTGTATTTCCGATTTAAGAGTTACCTGCATCACTAACAATAACTCATTTTCTTTTCAGATTTTGTAACGCTTCCAATATGTGTTTCTGATAGTTCTTCAATGCCCTCTAAGACTAGTTTTTCAAGAAATGTAACTCTGGTCGTTGCTAGAGCTAAGCATCTGATTATAAGAAAGAGGCTTGATAATTCTTCCTGTTCATTTTAGTAGAACCGCCATCTACAAGTACAAGTCTTTGTGTATGGTTTCGTACATAAAATAGATAATTAAATGAAAAATAATTTTGAGGATTTCGGTTGTTCTTATATCTATTAGTTTCCTATTTTAAGTCGGCAATAAAGTTCATCTAATTTTATATCTATCCAATTTTACTAAATTTAATGGAAGGTATGCAATAAAACAAAATTTTTCAGGAGGATCTGCAATTGTTTGTCTCTAAAACAGTTTATTATTATATAAACAATTTGCAAACACTCTTATGATCTGAAAGAAATCCTAAATATATCTCTTTTAATATGATTAATATGATTTTTAATTAATAAAATTAATATAATATAACAGTTCACTTATATATCCTGAATACGAGATCATTGTTATCAATCTACAATTTCTTAAATCCCGTCTATGTAGACAGTGTTAACGCACTATAGTTGATTTATGCGTGGAGACAAATCTGTTAAATTTTAAAATCTAAAATATTAGCTTTAATTTCATGGATACAACTTAAATAGTAGCATTTTTGAACTTCCAATGATACCAAAGCAAATTACTAAAAAAATTTGTATTTTTATTTAAAATTTCATTTTCAATTACTATAAGTGTTGATGAATAATTGAAGCACAAAAAAGGTTCTCTCATGGCTAGGAAATGCATTTCTGTTGCAATCAAAAATTTTACAGAAGTTATCACGAGAACGAAGTGGTTTAATTGCATTTCCGGAGGATTACACAAAAAGCTGCAAAAGTTTTAATGCTTATGTAGAATTTTCCATATGAGAGATATTTCGTAAATGATGAAAATATGTATAAAATAAAAAAAATAAAGAAAGGATAACAGCAACAACAACAACAGCAGCAATGACAAGTTCCTTGCTTATTTATATTTTTTACATGGCAGCAGTATCGCATTTGCACAATTGTTAGAAAAATCAGAAATAAGTAATTCCGGCAATATACTGCAATATATTCAGACTTTGCGTTCTTATCGTAGTCATAGTGGATGCAGTAGTAGTCATTGTCCTTGTGTGGTGCACTCATGCCTTCAATTGTAAAACATACGAATTTACTTATATTTGCATGGAGAGAAACTTAAAATGTGCATGCAAATGCGAACATACACAGAAGGCAAAGTGCCCAGTAAAATGGAATAAATCGTCTTATCATCAAGCAACATGTTTTATGCATTACAAGCAAATTTGCAACTATGATCCGAATAAATATTCCCGGCTAAGTGGCAGATGGATCTTCACAGCATCCTGACACGTCTTCAGCAAATTACCAGCAAATGTTATAAAAAACGTATTGCAAAAAAGACTTCCATACAAATTTTGTATAGCAAAATATATTTAACAAATTTAATTATTCCACTACTTTATATAAAAATAAAACAAAAAATATTTTCTCACTTCCATTCGTGTTTGGCATTTCCCCTTAAAAGCATAAACCTGTAGCTTTTAAATTCAATTTAATAAGTCACAGCAACGGCTGTTTTCAGATCTAACCACCGTACTTCTATGCATCAAATTAACTTCTACAACCTAATAGAGTATAAAATGATTTTTAATTTTATGTTTATTTTTTTTTTATTGCTCATTGCAGGCTACTATGTGAGGAGATTAACCAGGACGAATCATTTCATCTTGAGTATCGTGGACCGGTTGTTATGAAAGGTAAGGCAACACCAATGGATTGTTGGTTTCTGACGCGTAACACAACTGCTGCCGGAAGCATCGACTCACCAATACCGCCACCAACACCAACATTACCGTCAACGACCACTACACCGCCAATCACAACGGCTCCAGTTACGCCTAACGCTGACAAATACACAGCGAGTAACTCATTCTTTCCTAATTCGAATGTGGGCACACCGTCATCATCGACTTCTGCCATCACAACTGTCGCTACAGGCGCAGTTGTCGGTGCCAATGCCACCACTGAGACATAGGAAATGTGCAAAGATTCGTCCTGCTGTTGCTGAAACATACTTTAAGTACGCGTGAATCGCTGTCACGTGACATTTGTCGGGTATGGCTTGTATAAGTGCGGATGGATCATTAGTCAAGGTAAATCGTATTAAATGTTCAACTGCTTACGGAATTGCAAATGCTCTTAGTGTAAATTGAAGCAAGTGCAATTGACGTAAGTGCTAAAAAATTTCAAAATGTAACAATGTCCATTCTTACCTTTCTAATGTAACTCAAAATTTATGCTATTTTGATGTAAATTAGACTGAATTATGCAATTCCAATTACGTTGAGTCAATGTTATTTAATGAAGCGAAACAATTCTTCTTGGAATGCTTAAAAGGATCTAAAATAAATACCATTTCCGCTGAATAGGTCTAGATGCAATTTAGTTTTAACTTTAAACATAATGGGTAAACACTTAACTAGAGAAAGAACGGTATTGTTGAAAATAATAACCACAGAAGTGATATTACCCTGTAAACATCCTTTTCACTACTTTATTACATTTGATTCAATACAACTATTTTCACAAATAGGTTATTTTCGAAAAGCAACAACAAAAATTCCATATTTTATTATTTTAATTAATTAATTTCTTGGCTGACAATACAGCTGTTTCCAGTATTGCCAAATATCCATTATCAGTGGTCTTGGAAATAATTCTTGTATTTAATTATTCGTAAATAATTTTTTTTAAAACTGCATGTACCAAGGTAGAACTCATGCCCTGCCAAATTTGAAGTTCAGAGTCAGCGCTCTTTTACCAACTGATTCAAAGCCATACTTGACTTTTATG